TTTCACACCTACCTTTTGCGGTCGCTAGCATAAGCCACCATAAATTTTGCATAAAGGTAAACGTACAATTTCCATTTAATGATCGTTCTTTAAAAGTAACCTGGTTGTTCAGTCAGAAATTCATCAAAAATTTTAAGTGCCTGTACGTAAGAACCGCGTATTCTTCAAGGCTGAATTTGAAATACTTAAGCTGCACTTGGATAGAGAACATTCCCCTAAAATTTCAGCTTTCTAGCTTTTCTGGTTCCCGAGTTGGTACTTTTCCCGGAAAAAATTTCATACGCCCTTACGTGAGTACATCGCATAGCTGGAGGCTGAATTTGAAATATTTTAGGTGTACTTGGACAGGAAGCATTCCCCCAAAATTTCTTTCAGCCTTTCTAGTTACCGAGTTAACAATTTTCGCGCCAAAACATTCACATTCCCGTACGTAGGTGCTCAACGTGCCTGGAAAGCTGAATTCGAAATTTTTAATTGCACGTGGACAAGGAATATCCCCTTAAAATTTCAGCTTTCTAGCTATCCTGGTTCCCGAGTTAGCAATTTTCCCGCAAAAGTTTCATACTCCCTTACGTGAGTGCCACGCATACTTGGGAACTGAATTTGAAATCTCTGGCTAGCATACGCACGGGGAATATTCCTACAAAGTTTCAGTCCTTTAGCTCGCGAGGTTCCCGAGATCGCTCTCCAGCCAAAAAATTAGCATATTTGTTTTGAGCGTCTGAACGCAGCACCCAGGCATTCGCGGAGGATGAAATTAAAACGTGTATGCCGTGCATGGTATAGGCACATAATCCCAATGTTTCAGCCTTCTAGCTTTTCTGATTCTCGAGTTGAAAGTGGGTGACAAAAAGTGCGAACACACACACAGCCTCTTCCCAGTGTGCGTTTTTGCAGTCTGCATATATGCAACCCAAGCTGGAAGCACCATGCTGGCCGGTGCGATTATGCGGTTTTGCACTTTTTGTGCCGTAGCAAGTTCGCAAGGAATCACAGTAACTAACCCTGTGATATACTGGCCCTCGAATTTCGGGAAGATAATTGTGCAGCTATGTGGCATGTCAGTTGTAGATGTCGACTTCAGTGACCCGACAAATGGAAAGTTGTTGGTCCGCGAAAAAGGCCGCACTCGAAGAGTTAAATTTGGCACTCCCTTAAAATTAAAGCCTTCAGCTTTCCTCGTTCCCGAGTTAGCAGTTTTCTCACCATTATACTGGACCATACATGAGTACCGGACGGTTTTAAGGAACTGAATATGAAATGTTTTGGTCACACATGAGTAGGCGACACTACCCTAAAGTTTCAGCTTTCTAGCTTTTTTTGTTCCCTGGTTAATGATTTTCACTCCAAAATTTCTACATGCCCGTAGCTGGGCCTCAGGTGCTTCTAAACACCTGATTTCGGTCGTACATGAGTAGGAAACATTCCTCCAAAGTTTCAGCTTTGTAGCTTTTCCCGTTCCAGGGTTAGTGATTTTCGCGGCAAAATTTTCAAGCGCTCGTACGTAGGCCTCCGGTGCTTTTAGACACCTGATTTCAGTCGTAGTTTCAGCTTTCTAGCTCTTTTCATCCCTGAGTTAGTGATTTTCGCACCAAAATTTTCACGTCCCTACGTGAACCCCGGACGACCCTAAGGAGCTGAGTTTGAAAACTTTTGGTCGTTCATGAGTAGGGGACATTCCTCCAAAGTTTCAACTTTTTAGCTTTTCTCATTCCCGAGTTATGAATTTTCCGCCATAATTTTCACGTGCCCGTGCGTAAGCCCCGGGCGGTCCTGGGCAGCTGAATTTGAAATATTTTTGTCATACACGAGTAGGGAGCTTTACTCTCTGGCTTCAGCTTTCCAGTTTTTCTCTCTCCCGAGTTAGCAATTTTCTCGCCAAAACCTTCAAGTGCTCGTACGCGGGGCCCAGATGTGCGTGAGAGTTGATTCCATGGTCCTGGGATGGCACTTGGCTGGGAAACATATTGGCAAAATTTCAGCTTCAAAGCTTGCTTGGTTGGCAAATTGAAATGCCTGGACAGACGAACACACACACACAAACACACACATGCATACTGACAGGGTCGTTACAATATCGTTTTTGCTGCCTGTTGCAGAGTCCCAGCGTTGCACGGCAAAAACGCATAAAAACTGTTGAAATCCAATTAACTTGGTGACCAGGCTGAGCAGGAAACAGATTTTTCCGAAAACGCTTGCTTAGCATGTGCTGACCATTAAGGGTAGGGTGAGCATCTGCCTAGGATGGGCT